AAAATTCCGGCACTACTCCCTCTTCCTGTATCGTCACTAACCTCTCTCAACTGAATCATCACTATCTGGAAATAAATAAACCGTTATTTCTCTCATTGAAGAGGCAAAAATAAAAGCAAAAAAAAACAAAAAAACCTCTTGACTCAACTTCCTCCTCTCCTCTTACCTCTACCACATTTCTCTCCTTTAAAGGCAAACCTCTTGCGAGAGTACATTTAGTCTCCATTTCCCATTCATAATTCTCTCATGAAGCAGACTTTACCACCCCCCGCACGCTCGTACACACACTCTCCTCTAAAACTGCCTGATTTTAGTGACTTCCAATAAACATACCACGAGCAATTCTCAGTCACCTTAGGTCAGTGGCGGACCTTTAGGACCTTCAATGACAGCAATCAGCTAGCTAGCTGCAGCACGTGTGCCACAGGTTTGCCACCACTGCCTTAGGTGATATGCTTTGCAGCATCTGATAGCACTGACCACTCTCTCCCTAAGGCATTTTCTTTGCTGGCTACTAGGATGCCACGCTCCTCTATCCTCCTCTACCACGTTAGCCTCTCAGTCTCCTCAGCTCCTTTCTCATCACTCCAACTTCTCAATACGGCAATGGCCCCATGGCTCCATTACAGGGACCCTTCTCTAGTTACAGGCACTCCCTAAGTGATCTCATCCAGGCCCGCAGCTTTGAAATACCAACTATATCCTCATGTAACCAGCCCCAGACTGCTGAATTCCACGCTCATGTCCAAATGCCTATGGAACACCCCTGCTTGAATGTCTAATAATTATTTCAAACTTCAGAACTCTTGATCCTCACCCTACAGCACTAGATCTTCTCACGACTTTGCATAATTCTTTTAAAGGCAATCCCAACCTTATCACTGCTTGGGCTAAAAATCCTGGAATCATTTCCAATTGCTTTCTTTCCTTCACCTCAAGTCCATCTACCAACAAACTCCTCTTGAATCTACTTTCAAAATGTATTCATAATCTATTTGTGACTCTATCCATTATTATATTCTTGGTCAAAACCACCATCAGTTCTTGACTGGATTATTACAATACTCACGCCTTTCAAATTCACCTCCAGCTTCTGAAGAACCCTTCCAGTGGGATTTCATCTGAGTAAAAGGCACAATTAATACAAAGATCTTCAAGGACGAGCAGGAGCAGCCTATTACTTTGACCACACTTCCTACTAGTCTCTCTTCTCACTCTGGTCGGCCATACCCACCAGGTCTTACCTTTGCCTACAGCTCTTTTACTTTGGGGCTGGGGATTTAGCTCAGCGGCATAAGCACCTGCCTTGCAAGCAGGTGGTCATGAGTTCAATCCCCGGTACCAATTAAAAAAAAACAAAAAAGAAGTCTAACTAGCTCGCTCACTGAAGCCCTTTAGGGCTTGGCACAAGTACCACCAGTTAGGCCATTCACCAACACTGCATGCGCCTGCACACACACACACATCCCTTCTATCCCCCTTCTCTACCTTTGTTTTGCTGTTGTTTTTACAGTGTTACGGACTCAACCCAGAACCTCATGTGTACGAGGCAAGTGCTCTACCACTGAGTATATCCCCAGCCCCTCTGCCTTGTTTTACTATCCTATAGCACTTCACACCTGCTTAAGCAGATTTTGTTTCTATGGTCTCTTCTTCTAAAATATATAACCCACGAGGATAAAGTTTTTTGTTCGTTTTCACTGTTTTTTCTCAGGTGCCTGGAATCATATCCAGTACCTTGCAGTGTCTCAAATACTTTTTTTCTATAGATTACACAGTGTAACACCATATGGGCCCGCTTACCTCCCTGTCCCACCTCCCGCTGTCCCAACTGCACCACTGCACGTATGGTAACCTTTGAGATATTCTGAGTAAGCCAAATGACTGACTCCACGGGTTTCAGTTGCTATTCCTCCTCTGGAATATCAGCACCCCAGATATTTGGATGGCTTGCTGCCGCTTCTCTACTCAAATGACACATGCTTACAAAGGTCTTTCCTAGCTACCTTATCTAAAATAACCACACTACCCAAGCATGCCCACATTCTCTCACTAACCCTGATTTTATACTTTATTTTTCTACACAACACTTCGCCACCTGACACCACGATACATGAATGTACCTGTTTCTCATTACAACACAAGCTCCATGAGCACAAAGGTATCATCTCTTTTTCCCTAGTATCTCTTCAACACATCTAACAATCCCCAGCACACAGCAAGTGTACAGTATCTATTGACTGAATAAACACAATGTTTAAGATGATATTACCTATCTACAACAAAGAAGGAAATTTTTATATTGGCAGGAAGCTGAAGTAAAAACATCCTTTAGGGCCCTTATATTACTATTATTTTATTAAATAATGAAGTGGTAAAGGTTAAAATCAGGTATTGAGTGCCTTTGAGTGTTACTAAGAACTACTAAAGGATAACAAAATAAATATTAAAAGCCTTATTAAAAATGACACAAACTTTATACTCCATACACAACTGTACATAGATCCACCAAAAGAAAACAAAATGCAAAACTGGGATAAAAAGTTCACTACAGCAGACTTAACCCATCAATAGAGAGTCAGGAAATTAGAGAACATTGCTGAGCTCCTTATTTATAGAAATAGAGTCTAGAGACGCTAAAGAATTTGTACACAAACAAAGCTAGAATTAGAACCTTGGCCTCCTTTCAACATTATGTTCCCTAGTATACCAACATCTCTGATTCAATACCAACACCCTATTAAGAACCAAGATTCTTCTCGGAATGGTAGTGCATGCTTATAATCCAGCACTAGAAGGGTGAGAGTAGTTCAAGGCCAACTCTAGCTACACAACAAAACCCTGTCTCAAAAACACAATAAAAAATAAAATAAAGAACAATGATTGCCCTACAGCTATGATTCTCAGTCTTCAGTGCTCATTCTAGTTATCTGAGCAGCTTGTGAAAAGGAGCAACAAAACAGGTTCAAGCCCCAGAACTTGCAATTAAAAAAAAAAAAAAAAAAAAAAAAACAGTATTTGCAACAACTGGGCACCAGCTCAGCTAAATCAACCTCTAGAACTGGAGCCTGGGCATCAATATCTTTTAACATTTTCTGGGGATTCTCCTGGGTGTAGCCACAGTTGTAAACCAATGTTCTAAATTAGTGTTTTTCATAATGTGGCTCCACAACCAACACAACTAACATCAGGTAGAACTTGTTAGAAATGAAAATTCTTAGCCCTGCCCCATTGAAGACTGAATCAGATATTCTGAATAAAGCCTGATAATCTTTAATAAGCCTTCCAAGTGATTTTGATATATATTAGTTTGAGAATCAAACTTTATATATATTTTAATGTTATATTATATATTATAATCAAAACAAGAGTATAAAGACAATTTAGTGGGGGAAAGAACAGTCGTTTCAACAAATGGTGCTTGGAAAAATGGATAGTCACTTGCAAAAAATGACGTTGGAGCTCTATCTCACATCACACACAAAAATTAATACAAAATGGGGGCTGGGGATTTAGCTCAGTGGCATAAGCGCCTGCCTTGCAAGCAGACAGTCATGTGTTCGATCCCCGGTACCGATAAAAAGACAAAAAAAAAAGAGAGAGAGAAAAAAAAATTAATACAAAATGGATCATAGACAAGAGCCAACTCCAACATATCTATAAATCTTAGTGACATTAGAGTAGACACTGATTTCTTAGTTATGACATTTTCTCAAAGTGTCAATAGCAAAAGAGACAAAATAAAACACATTAGACTTAATTTCTTGCTGCAAGCATAACATCAAGAAAGTGAAAAGACAACCCATATATGGTATAAAATATTAAGCCATACCTGATAAAGGTCTAACAGAGATTCACAACATGAACAACACAAATTAAAACGTGAACGAAGGATTTGAGCAGACATTATCTTCAAAGAAGGTATTTAAAAAGTTGGTAAGGACATTAAAAGATGTCAAAACTATTACCCATCAAGGAAAAGCAAATTATAACCACAATGACGTATTACTTCACACTCACAATGATAACTAGAATCAAAAGATCACCAAAAAAGAACAAAAAAAGTAGAAAACCTAGTGAACTGCGCCTTAAGAACTCCAAGGAGAACTAGCCTATAATGGCGGTCAAGCAGCAGTCACCAGTGAAAAACTTAGGGAGCCAAAGATGGAAAAGGAAGAGAGCATGTGGGTATGGTCAGTGCTGCTAAATGAAAAAGAAGAATAAATGAAAATTCCTCTTGGGTTTACTGACATGCAACTCATAGCATTTCCACAAAAAGTTTCTAAGAAATTCAGTTACTTTTCTGCATATTCTAATTACTCAGTACTGTGTTTATCTCCAATTAGCCTCAAATTCTCTTGAATGATGAATCTGGAAAATAAAAACTGATTAGAAGCTGCTAGCGCCCAGTTCGTTCACAAAACCGCTGTAAGGACTCTTTGAAACTACCTAAAAGAAATTGAACTCCATTAAAGACTGTCTTACATAGCAGGGTTAATGTTCCACACTATTTCAAACTTCTTACAGATTATGACAGATTAATTGATATTGCCATAACTATCAGCCAGAGTATGGCTATAGTAAAACAGTATGCAATACAACACCTCCGCACAGAGAAAGTAACAACTGCAAAACAGATAAAACGGTAATGAGCTAGGTTTCCAGATCACCTTATCCCCTAAAAGAGACGTGTCGCCCTGAGATTCAGAAGGGTTTTTTTTCCCCAGAAAAGGAGGATAAAAAGTGAAAAAGCGAGACAGCCACTCCTTTACCTAACTTCTGTTTAAATCCTCAGCAATACTCTGCTTCCTGAAAGCTGCACGGTGCAAGCTTGTCACGTCCCACAAATTCAGCAATTTACACAAATGGAGTCAAATCTGACTATAAGGAAAGAGTTCGTAACAGATCAGCAGCACCTGCGGCCAACGACCCTGTCCTCCTTTCAAGCAGAGCTACCTGCCTCCCAATTCCCCCATCCCAGCTGGCAAGTCTCCCTTTACCTGCGAAAACAGATGAGCAGTCGGCCAGAGAAAGGCTAAAACTGCAAAATACAAAGCTCTGCCATTAAAGGAGCTCTGGCCCCACTCTGTCCCCACGCTGACCCATTCGCCACTCTTACCGAGCAGTCAGGAAATAACAAACCAGTCCAAAGTGGGAGAAATCAACACGCCACTTGCCGGAAACTGCAGGCTAGATGGAGCGCGCCATGACACTCACGTCCCGCCACGTTTATTTACGCATGCTCTGCTACGGTGGCCGGGAGGAATCAAATTAAGACAAGCAATTGCTACAAGCGCGAGTTCGCGTCTCCAAATCCTAAGATTCTTAGACTCTCTTAGCAGTTAACTTCTACTGAGTTCTTATAAAGTGTCGGACACTGTGCTAAACACTACATGGACGGGACAATTTATTATTAGTATTCTTACTTTACAAAAGAGATATTCGTGTTTATCGGAAAATAAAACCTAACTAGAGATCAAAACTGTCAACCCAAATCAGCCTATCCTTGCCTTACCTGATATTAGAGAGTAGCCACCAAGCAAGAGACTAGTGAGGTATAATCTGCAAGACGCGGGCCACCACAATCCTAACAACCAGCTATTAATTACAACTGAAGTTTATTTCTCAGTTAGGGGTAACATGGGCCTTAGAATTTAAGTACAATACTTGTGCAGAGCTATTTTATGAGCAGTGATTGGTCCCTGGGCTAAATGTATTCTGTCTGACTCCCAAAGAACCCACGGTTTTTAACTCCCTCAAAATTTTTTGTAGAAAAGGATATAGGAAAAACAGCTGGTAGATTAAAGTTGATATAAATCACTAAACACCAATCAAGTAGTCAGGAGCATTGTGGTTTTTTGTTTTGTTTTTGTTTTTTGTTTTAGGGGGATTGTTTTGTCTTTTGTTTTTTCATGCTTAGTTAAGCAAACTCACAGAGGAAAAAAATTTTATGAAGTATACTGATTCTAACCTTTGCTTTATTTATGTTATCTCAGTTTATTGAATGTGCATCCAATGACCACAAGTGCGGTGCTAGACTCTGGAGTTATTGAGAAAAAAAACTGTTCCCTCTTGTGGTTTCAGGCTGCTTCTCAGGAATGGTTTTGGTAGATGTGGAAGACGAATGCACAGGACACAGCGGTGAAGTTAGGCAAATGGATGGATTCATTCCAGGCTGAGAGGAGGCAGCAAATTGACAGAAACCTGAAACAATGGACTGGTCCACATTATAAAAGCAAAAAATTGAAACGGCATGATAGGAGGGCTCTATTGGAGAGCAGAGGTACAGGGAGCAGATTAAGGAGAAGCTCCTATGCTAAAATACGAACCTTAAATCTAAACGTTGATCTATCAGGCAGGGTGAAATGTCTGAGCAGATTATTCTCGTTGACTGTAAGGAATGAGATGGGAGGATAAACAGGAGGAGCCACTGAGGGGGTAAAATCATCAAGCCTTGGTGATTGATGGACATGATAAAGGTGGATGTAGGGTTATTTGCTAGTTCTTGGATAAAGTGACTAACATAAACACCTTCTCCATGAAATCTGTCTCTTTAGACATTTTGAATCTAAATCATTTGAAGAGCCAGTAACACTACTTCTGAGAACTTCTCTTACACAAATGACCTATGTTTCAAATATTTTCAAAGCATTTTTTTAAATAGCGAGACCAGAAACCATTTCCAGCTCCTCAATAGGGAATTGGTGAAATATATTCATGTCTGTATAGCTGTTTTTGAAAACAGAATGAAGTTGCTTTTAATGTGCTTTCCAAGTTATATCCTTAAGTGGAAGAAGCAAATTGCATGACAATGTTTGCAATTCTGTAGATAGTAAATAAAATACAGTACAGGTAGGATACCCTGTAGAGTATGCAAGTAACTTATAATAGAATTGTTTATGGGAAAAGAAACTAGGCGGCTCAAAAGAAATGTACTTTTCACTATATATTTTACATCTTTACTTTCTTAGAAACATTATTTATTGAAAAATAAATCATAAAAAATAACATACATAAAATAACATTTGATTTTATTACATTGATATCACAATATTAATTATTCAACAATCTAACTTAAATTTATGTTAACACTTGTTTTCACTCTTTTTTATTGTGATATTTAATATAAAATTTCAGAATTCAGGGTTGGGGATTTAGCTCAAGGGCTGGGAATTTAACTGAGTGGCATAAGTGCCTGCCTTGTAGGCACGCAGTCCTGAGTTCGATCCCCGGTACCAAAAAAAATTAAAATAAAATAAAATTTCAGAATTAAATGATGGTAAGTACATTCATTTTTGCATAACACCTCCACCCATCTGTAGAACTTTTCATCTTTTCAAGCTAAGACCTGTATCTATGCATCACCAGCTTTCTACTTCTTCCTCTGCCTTTTCCCTGGTGAACGCCCTTCATCCATCTGTCTCTAAGAATAACTTCTCTAGATATCTCCCATAAGTAGAACCATATAATGTTTGTCTTTTTGTGACTAGGGTATTGCACTTAGAATAATGTTTTGAAGTTCACCCATGATATTACTTATGTCAGAATTTCTTTCCTTTTAAAACTGAATAATATTCTATTGGGTTTATAAACTACATTTTGTTTATAAATTTCAGAGCTATGTGCTTTGTTTCTCAAATTAGATCATAAGTTTCATAAAAATATTCTTGATCTTGTTACTGATTTTCAGCCCCAAATTTAACATGAAAGCGTAATAAACATTTAGTAGTAAACAAACTTATCTATATGTACAAACACTAAAATATAAATGAATCTTTAAAGTAAAAAAAAGTTGAAGGTTTTTTTGAGCACTTATAAACGTGTGCCAAAAACCACATTAAGCCTTCCATGAGAATTATAAGTATTCATCACAATAACTATATAAGTAATGCTATAAATTAGGAACATTGCTATTTTATTCTCCTCTTTTTACAAGGGAAGAAAACTAAAATTTAGGCAGACTTGACTAACAACTCAGTATGAATACATCAAATAATGAAGTTAGATTTCATTAACAATAATAATTTAAATAAATCAAATAGAGAATAAATATTAAGAAAAAAAGAATGATGAAGATAAGAGTTGTGGAATAAAATCTTTATGCCTTCAAGGAGATTTAAGCTTTTCATTAGACTTCATGGTGAAACTCAAAGAAAAAAATGTGGACAATAACACAATTAGTACCAGGAGTAATGCTGCACACCTGTAATCCCAGCACTTGAGAGGACGAGGCAGGCGGGTTCCAAACTGAGACCAGCCTGGGCTACGGAGTGAGTTCAGGTAAGTCTGGACTATACAGCAAGACCCGGTCTCAATAGCACCAAAAGAATAAAATAAATAAGCAAATAAAAATGAATTCAGAGAATTACTATCTCAGTGACTAATCAAGAAAGAATAAAATTATTAAAAGTAAAGAACGCATCTTTAGATTTAGCTTATGTTCTAAGCAACAGCCATAACATTCACAAACTTATGCCAACTGATACCTTTTTTATGAGAAACAATACATGTATTTAAGTCACTCTTGAAAAGTGACTAGAAAAATACATAAAATGTTTTATGTAGAATATTAGATTAAATTTAGTGGAGCAAGATTTAAAACAGATTAATCTATTATATGCGATGACAAGGACAAGTAAGTGTTCTTAATTTTTTCAAAGTTAAATAAGTCACCATGCATTAGGCAAATATAGTTACTTATATTAACTTCCATTATACATGATAAAAACAATTTAGCTCAGCTTATAAGCCAGAAGATACGCAGGCAGCACATGAAAATCAATGCTGAATCTTGTAATTTGGGTTGAATCTAATAAATTAAGGTCAGAATAAACTTCCCCAGCTGGATACCACACAGTTATAGTAGTTTCCTAGGGAAAAAAAATATTTTTATGAAGGAATCCATGAAGAAAGATGATGACAGTAGAGATAGATGGAAAAAATCTGTCGAAAGAAAACTTGCCCAAATGGATAAATACTTCAGTGTAGAGGATAAGTGAGAAGGATGCTGATCTGCTTAAATAAGCTGGTAAACGATAATGGAAAAACATGATGCATAATAAATAGCCTTCTGTTGTTTTAGGCTGATGCTGAATAGGCTGTAGATGATGCAACCACTAGGGGTCAGAGTGCTGAACCTCTAATATCCGCTAGTCTATCAATTTACACAAACAGGTTTGTTTCAGTTTTGTAATTAATTTTACCTTTTCATTCTCCCAGTCTCTGTACAAGTGGTTTAGAGGTTGTACAAGTGGCCTGTGGCCCAGACCAAAGCAATGAAAACACCACATGTCCTTGCCACAGGGTATGTAACCCACACCAGGCCAGAGCAAATTCTGGGCTCACTGTCAACTGCCGGAATTTGAGGCTGAAGCATCCAAGGCCACCATGAAGAGAACACCTGCCTGAAGCCAAAGCTGTTTCAGAGGGAAGCAGATTGGAGCGGTGAAAGCAAAAATCAGTAAGTCGCAAAGGCAACAATAAGGCCTCCATTGCTACACTGTTCATTGTAGCTAGAGCAAGCTTGACCTCTGAGCTGCTCAGTCTTAGGAACAAGTAAATCTCTACTTTTTTTTTACCCTAATTGGAGTGAGTTTCTATCATGTGTAGCCAAAAGAATTCTGGCTAAAATTCTTATTTCATATTCTCTTAATGATTAAAAATAACGATTTGCACCTTGTGTCTAATTCTCTGATTACTCATAAAGATCAGTGAAAGCCAATTTTTTCTCTGTCCAGTAACATATGACATAATCATAATAAATTTATCAAATTATATGTGTAATTTATATAATAACAGACTTATTGCACCTATATAGTATGTTAACAATTATTTTAAGTATTTTAAATTAACGATTATTTCAAAACATACCAAGATCTCTATCTTCTGAAAAGTTTAAACCAACCATAATGGTGCATGCCTACAATCCCATTCTCCAGGGACTGAGATAGGATTGTCACATGTTGAGGCCAACCCTGTAGACTTGGGGAGACCTCGTATCAAAATAAAAACTAAAAAGGGGAAAGGGACTATCATAGCTTTGCACGATAGCCCACTCTGCGCTTCCCAAATGCAGAGTGTAGTTTTATCTTTCCTCTTACCCACTTTTTCTATTTTCTTGGCCCAAGTTCACTCTGCCAGTTCTCTCCCACTCATCATTTCTGCTTTCTTAAATAAACTTTGCCACAGTTTAAAAAGGGGTGGGGAGATCAGACTCACTGGTACTGGACCCT